ATTGAAGACCTGGATCTACTGCTCAAAGAGGTTCATTCACCACTAGAGCATTCATCGCTCACTGGATTCACACTCATTTTGCCCAATTCATTTAAATTATCTGGGCTTCAATTTCCTTATCTATGAAATAAAAACAATAATTCCTGAGCTGCTTTCTCTGTACATTGGAGGTGTTGATTGGTAGATGGCAACGTAGCTGTGAACTGATGTGAACTCTAGAGAGCAGCTGCAGCTGGCTTCCCGTAGATGCTTGACCTGCTTTCTGCTGCCTTGCCTCAGTTTTGCATGGGAGCTCTGTGTTTGAGAAAACTCATGGAAAACAAAGACTCTGCCTTCTCATCCTGAGATCTGCTTCCCAGCTCTCTACCTTCAATAGAGCCCCTCTCCTATACCAGGTGTTTGGAGCAGGGGACAATGGAGCTTTGTGGAGACTCTGGATACCCCAAGACTTCACTATTCCCTCTGTTCTCCCCACCACTCCATCCTCCACCTACTCTTCCTACCTGATAAATCCTACTCACCTGCTATTCCTTAGCTCAGAGGACTTTTTTTTCCCAAAAATGTGTGTGTGTGTGTGTGTGTGTGTGTGTGTATGTTTTGTTTTGTTTGATTTTGGTTTTGGTGGTGCTGGGGATCAAACCCAGGGCTTTGCATGTGCTGGAAAAACACAACAATCACTAAGCTACATCCTCAGCCTCTATGTGTTTTCTGATCCCCTTCATCTGGATGCAGTTTTTCCCTTTAAGCCCCTGAGCCTTCCCATCTATCATTGTAGTTACAATTTACCAATAATACTCTAATATACACATTTGAGTACTTATCTTATTTTCCTACTAAATGTCACATTCCCAGAGGCAGGGGATATGCTTATAAAACTAATGCTTTATAAGTGATTTTTTTATAAAAAGTAATTTTTTACATCCTCCACATGATAGTTCAGAAAGAACTTGGTACCTAAATATTTGTCAAATGGAGCTAAAAGAAAACAAATTCACTACATACAACCACATACTGGTGCCCTTAATAATTATAGTCTGCAAGGATGCAGTTGCCCACAAAAAGAAATAGAAAGGGTGTCTGTGATCCTCAGCCACATGGTTCTCTATTGTTATAAATTTACATCTTCAATAGGTATGTTCCCTCCATGTTGATATGATAACCTCAGAGATGGGAGAATTCAAACAGAAGTCAGGGCTCAATCCTTAATCCCTACTCAGAGACAAATGATCTTTGTAGAATTTTATAATTCATAGCAGGACATGCAAATATTAACCAGGCCAGTGACCCTTCTGTTTAGGTTAAGGCTGTCACTGAGCCACATCCTCTTTGGGAGACAATCCATGCACCCAAGATAAGGTTTCAAGAGGCTCTTGAGCCAGGAAAATTGTTTGGTCAAGTGTCTATGCCTTTTGTCATGTACTCTTTGGGTTTGTGGCTCCTTTCCCCAGTCTAAAAACAGTTCCAAAAGCAAAATTGACATCAGAAAATGCTCAGATAATCTGTTTACCTTTGTGTAAGTCACTCTGCCATTTCTGAACTTCGGTTTCCTCTAGAAGAAGGGAGATTGAAATAACTCTTCAAGGTCCCTGCCAGCCCTGATATCCCAGCACTCTATTCTGGGCTTCAGATTGAATTCCTATGGCCCTAGGCTACTGTCTTTCTCCTCTGCTTCTCAAGTTTGTATGATTCAGTTTTGTCATGGCTCTCAGCAGGGACATGCTTCCTTGTCCTCTGGAATAGTTTGGCTCTGCAGGCAGTGTGTTTATCTGTCATCATGAAAAAGTCCTTAATCCCAGAAGTTATGAGGAGGACAGATATTTATCACAGACCCTCAGTAGGTCTCTATTTAATTTAAATAACCTCTGGTAGGTTTCATTTGAAAGTGTCCATGCTCTAGGCACTACTTGGGGATGCCAAGTTAGAGGAAAGAAGTTGCTGTGGCTGGAATTATTAATGCTCAAGGCATGACTATTCTTTGATAATCAATTTTATATTACATTGTATATTAGTCAGCTGTTTCACTGCTGTGACTAAAAGACTTGATAAGAACAATTAGAGGAATAATAATTTATTTGAGGAGCTCACGGTTTCAGAGGTCTTGGCTCATAGACAGCCACCTCCATTCCTTGGGGCTCAAGATGAGGCAGAACATCATGGTGAAAGAGTGAAGGGAATGGGCTCACATGATGATCAGAAAGCAGAGAGAGAGAGAGAGAGAGAGAGGGAGAGATTCCACTCTCCAGTTACAAAATGTATACCCCAAAAGCAAGCCCCCAGTGACCCTCCTCCAGCCACACCTTACCTGCCTACAGTTATACCCAGTAATCTCTATCAGAGGATTAATGCACTGATTAGGTTAAGGCTCTCATAAACCAATCAATTCTCCTCTAAACCTTCTTGCCTTGTATCACACATGAGCTTTGGGGGGACACCTATTATCTAAACCATAACACATAGATATAAATCATAAATAAGCTTAAATTCATTCATAAGCAGCAGCGATCTGTGTTGAAACTCTTGCTCTTTGTTGGTTGATTTAATAAAAAACAAAGACGATTTATAAGAATGCTAATATATCCAACTTGGAAGGGAATCTAGAGTTTAGCAAGTTCCAACTCCTGACTTACAGGTGGATAACTAGAGCTAGGGATGGGATGATCATAGAGTAGTCTAAGGTAGAATTAGGAATAGGACATAAGACCTCCATCTACCAGGTTCATGAAACTTACATTACTCCAAAACTGAGGTCACCAAGATAGAAGCACATGATTCATGCAGTTATGCACAGAAGAATCCCTTTCCCAAGCCCTCACTCTCTATTTATTTAGTCTCCTTTTAATGAAGTTCCAAGAAGAGCAACTCAAGTGGTTTCTAACTCATAACATGTTAAAAATAAAAAGACAGGAAATGGAATAATACATAAAGAAGATATAAGATTGTAAAGGCGTGTTGTTCGGCAGTAATTTCATGCACGGAAAGAATTACATAATTCAGCATCCCCAACGGTCTTCTTTGAATGTGATAGTTAAAGTACATAACAATGTCCATGGATTATTAAGAAAGGGTTTGAAGCAGGCTTCACTTCAAACAGGGCTTTGTATAAAGCACTTTTGTTTTTTAGGGGGCTGGGTACTGGGGATTGAACTCAGGGGCACTTGACCACTGAGCCACATCCCCAGCCCTATTTTATATTTTATTTAGAGACAGGGTCTCACTGAGTTGCTTAGCGCCTTGCTATTGCTGAGGCTGGCTTTGAACTCCTGATCCTCCTGTCTCAGCCTCCTGAGCCTCTGGGATTACAGGCATGTGCTACCGCACCCAGATAAAGCACTGTTTAAAAAGAAATATTGTATCTAAAAGAAAATCGTTTTAAAAAATTAGTTAGGCGAACTTTTAACCAGTTAACCAAAATAATACAGCAGCTGGGACAGTCGAGGAAGTGAATTTTCAGCTGTGTGCAGAAGGGCACATTCTGCATAAGAAGACTGGTGTGAGTTCACTGGTATCAGCAGAGAAAAAACAGCAAAGCCATAATCTCATTTTCTGTTTACATTTCAATTCCCAGCGTTAGTGATTAATTGTCCTTGTGTTTTGTTGCCAGGGCAAATTGTTTTTCTTTAAAACTCCTTCTTATTTTAAATAAATAAGCCATTAGTTTCAAAACAGAAGTGTCAAGTGTCAAGATACTTCTGGCATACTAAGCTAATGAACAAAACAACAAATTTATTGGAAGCTAGCAGAGATGGACAGCCTTTGTGAACTTTCTTTCAGTGACTTTGAAAGACAGAAACAATCATTCCTGGGAAGATTTTTGCCTGTATCGTGTCTAAAACATCGGCCCAGAGATCCCAAACACAAATGCAAGCTTTAAAAAATTGAGTTAGGTGTAAGATGATAGAGTAGGTCAAGTATTCATAGTCAAATAACTCTACCAACCAGCTTCTACACTGTGCTTCCCAAACCAGACACACAAAATCAGCTTTAGGCAACCATGTAGAATTCCTGCTTCACTTTCTGAGCTCAAGCAGAACCTTTAGCTCTTCCAAAGCCGGGAATTTTATCAGCAAGTATGCAAAGTTTCCATCTATCTTACACACACACACACACACACACACACACACATTTTCTGTATGATACCAATAAGCAGTTTTTATATTTTTAAGATTATCTATTATATCACACGACTTCCTGTTCAAAAGTTTTCCATGTCTTCCACTTACAGAATTAATGGCATTCAACATCAGCCATAATCTACTTTGTACATTTCCTTCCCAGTACATCTCTTCCTACAGTCTTCACAGGCACCCTGACTTCTCATAGCTCTCAGAATAGGTCTGCTCTTTTAGTTCTTGTGAACAAATATTCGTTGGACAACTGCTATGTGCCACATGCTATTGCATGCTTTGAGGAAACAACTATAAAGAGCAGTCCTAATCTCCTGTAGCCGGGGTCCTGGTGGGGATCTTTCACCTCCTCCTGCTGCTCCTATCGGAGCACTTACCAGGCTGCACATTAGCTCTGTCTGGGTCCGTTCCTCACTCTGAACACTGCTCTCCTGTGCATGGCTCTCAGTCTTCCTCTTCTCTCATCATCCCCATCTCATGCTCTGCTCAGCAGCAGGCACACTGGATGCCCAATGATTGATTTATATTGTACATACAGTCTTTTTTCTTTGGAAATGTGATAAGTTCCTGTTGTACAGAGAACCCATCTGCAGGGTTATCTAACTCTTTGGAATTTTAACATTGAGTTATTTTCAGTAACTAAGCCACTTGACTGGCAACAAGAATGACAAATATCAAGCTACCCCTGTGGAACTAAACAATGTGAATGCAACTGATCAGACGGCCACATTGACTTAAGCTGTAGTCTCTCTCTCCTCAAGTCTAAGAATCTCTCATCCCCCTTCCCAGGCTGCCTAGTCTCTTTCTTCCACGAGATCAGGAAAGAAGCTAAATGTGAAGCTGCTCATCTTGTCCCCTTTCACTTTGACCTCAAAGGTAGAAACTGAAGACCAGGTGCTGGCAACCTTTTGTGGCAGGGAGACCACGGACACAGAGCAGACCCCCGGCCAAGAAGTGGTTCTCTCCCCTGGTTCCTTCATGTCCGTCACTTTCCGGTCAGATTTTTCCAATGAGGAGCGGTTCACGGGCTTTGATGCCCACTACGTGGCTGTGGGTAAGTGGGGGGACTGGGTGGCTCATCCTCCAGTCTCTTGTTCTTGGTAAAGGTGCAAGCTGTCCGTGTCCTCTCCTAGACAGCAAACACCTGTTTACTCACGACACAGATTCTACCATTCATGTCTTACAGCATTAGCAAATGTCATCACCTGTCTACCCATCTATCTTCTGTTCATCCATCAATTCATCTTTTTTGATACATCAAAGTAATTGCAGACATCAGGAAACATCTTCCTAAATACTCCTTCATGGGTATAATTTTGCTAGAGTTTTATATCTGTTCAGTTTTTTTCTTTAGTGCAAAATTTGCATGCAATGAAATCAAAATCTTAGTATATATTTGTTGAATTTTTAAAGTTTATATTTGTGTGTAACCCAAACCCCCAATAAGATATTGAATTTAAGCATCAACCCAGAAAGTTGGCTCATGTTCCTGCCAAGTCAATCCGTGTTCCCAATTCCCTTAGTGGAAATAATTCTGTTTTTTTTTTTTTCTGCCATATATTAATTTTGTTTCTTTTTAAAATTTCACATAAATGAACACACAGAAAATATATCTTGGGGTGAATGCTTTTACTCAGCATTATGCTTTTGAGATTCACTTATGTTGCTGCATGCATTAGTAATTTATTCCTTTTCCTATCAGAATAGTGTTCCATGGTATGAATATACTATAATTATTTTTTATCCATTCTCCCTTTGAGAGACAACTGGGCTCTACCCATTTTTTGGCTCCCATTAATAAAATTTCTATGAATCTTCTTGTACAAGTCTTTTTGTGAGCATATACTTTCACTTTTATTGGGTAAATATTTAGGAATAGAATTGCTGAGTGATAGGGCCGCTATGCTCAGTTTTGTAATAAATCGCCAGATCTTTTCCAAAGTCATCACATCGTTTTATAAAAGTCCACAAATGCCTGGGAGTTCTGGCTGCTCTATATCTTCACCAACATCAGATGTTGTCAATTTTTTAATATTAACCACTCTGCTGGCTCTATAGTGTATCTCATTATGATTAAATCACATTTCCCTGACAACTAATGATAATAAGCATCTTTTCATGAGCTTATTGGCTATTCATATGTCCCTTTAGGAGAAATGTATACTCAATGCCTAGGACAGGATTGGACCCATACTAGGGGCTTAGAAAGAAAGAAAGAGACAACATGAAGTAGAAGTTAAGAACTCAAGCTCTGCAGCCAGCCCACCCCAGATCTCTATGGCTTTACTTCATCATCTATAAAACAGGGGTAGTAAGAGCCCTGAGCTTGCTGCTGTTAAAGGATAGTTCTTCTACCAGGAGTCAAGTTGCCTAGGTTTGAATCCGAGTCTCTGAGGTCTGGGATCAGCTGATCCACTTTTCTGAGTTTCCTCATCGGTAAAACGAAGATAATGACTCTCTCTGGGCTTTATGTAATGATTAAATGAGACAACTCCTGAACCCCCAGTGGCCAGGGAGCAGGCCACACTAAGTGCTGTATATGTTGGGGGTCATCTTCATCATCACGCATGCCCTGATTGAGGCTCTATCTTCCTTGCAGATGTGGACGAGTGTAAGGAGAGGGAGGACGAGGAGCTGTCCTGTGACCACTACTGCCACAACTACATTGGCGGCTACTACTGCTCCTGCCGCTTTGGCTACATCCTCCACACGGACAACAGGACCTGCCGAGGTAGGGCCTGGGGGTGATTCTATACATTGCCATGACATGCCACACCTTCCAGTACAATTAGAAGAGGCTCAGAGGAAAGATAGATACACAGTATAGACAATTAACAATGAAGTTAGAGGTGTGCTTCAGATACCATGTGAACAGAGATACTGAAATAACGCTCCCTCAGCCTGGAAGCCTGGGTTCCTGTTCTCAGTGAAATACAAGAGAAAATATTTGGCTACTAGGCCATCTTCCTGGGCAGAATGTGTGCTGAATAGGTTCTGTCTCTTTTCCTACAGAGGGTGAACTAATGACCAAGGTAGGGAGAAACCTGGGGTCCCCAGTCCTTTCTCTCTGAGCCATGAACTAAGCCTCTCCCAGCAGTTCTTTTTTCTCTTTGCTTTTGATAGCCTCTAAGTTTCTCTATGACAGAGAGAAACTCAGTCAAAAGGAAGAAGCATAGAGGCAAAAACAGAGGAAGCAGAAAAACTTTCCACCCCTTCTCTCTGTTTTCATCCCCCATCAACATGGTAGCCATGCTGTGGTGATTGGACTGAGGCAGAGATGGAGAGATGGAAGGGCTCAGCCACTCTGCAGCAGTAGTCCCTAGACTACTGGGGCAATAGTCCTATAAGCAAATGGTTAGATGCCGAAAGTGCAACATTTGCTACATTTATGTGAAGGAAGTGTAGACAGCTCAATCAGACCTGAGCTGGCCTGGAGAAGTGGACAAATACTCCCCCAAGATGATGACCCTTGGCAGATGTGAAAGAATAAGGAGAGGGAGGGCATTCTATGCAGGGAGAACAGCTTCTGCAAATATTCACAGGTGTGACAGAACTTGAGGCACTTGGGGAATTGCCAGCAGATTTGTGTGACCCAGGGATCTCACTCGGAACTTGAGTGAGGCAAGATCGGAGGGAGGTGAGACTGTAGACAGGAGCTCTTTTTCTTTCTCCTTCAAAAACTGCTCATTTCTGAATAAAGCCCAAATACTTACTCATCAGAATAAAGCAGTATAAGACAAAAACAGCAGGTTCATTTTCTTGGGGAGGGTTATGTTTTCTATTCTTATTCAGTAAGTATTTATTAGCTATCTACTCTATACTGAGGCTAGGGAGGGCTGAAGGTAGAGCAAGTTTTCTCAGTCTGTCTTTATTTCCGCACCCAGGAGCCCTTTTCTTTTTCTTTTTTTTTTCTCTTTGATACCACAGACATGCTGTATATCTGCTTATGCACTATATGTCTATGCATTATGCATAAGAACAGCAAGTCTTCCTACCAAGAACCAATTTTAGTCCCCTTTGGGGTGAGATTACCCCTATGAGAATGCTTGTGTAGAAAATGAAAACAGATGGGACTTTAAGAGACCTCAATCTAAACCTTGATCTGCAAGTTCTGTGGGACTTCAAGTTAGTCACGCCCCAGCCTTTCTGGGCTACAGTTTTTTTTCATTTGCAAATGAGTAGGATGAACAAAGGCTTAGCAAGCAAGGACATCCCAGCTCTAGGATGGGTCAGCCAAGGGCAAAAGTTTAGCAGTAAACAAAGGTGCCTGGGCAGGGTTAACTCAGGGCCAGGCCAGGACGGAGGTCCCTGGTTGCAATAACTCTAGTGCAGAACAAAGTCAAATCCCTGAGCTCATGGAACTCACAGTCTAGTGGGCCAAAGAAACCAACAAATGAATATGTGACATAATGTCAGGCAATGAGAAGCACCGAAGGAAAAAAATAAGAAGGACAGGGCTGGGGTTCAGCCTCTAGCTGGATCCCAGCCACCGCTGCAGCTGCTCCACAGCCCTCTTTCCAGGGCCCAGACAACTGCCAGCCGCTGGTCCCAGGATGGTGATTCGTGTATATATTGCATCTTCCTCCAGCTCTACAGTGATTAAGAAGAAACAGCAAGATGTGCTTGGTGCCAACAAAATAGGCTATATAGAAAAAGATACTGTAGCCAATGAAGAGAATCAGAAGCAGATGAGAGAAAATGCACCTGAGAATAGTGGACCCGCCACAGGGTCCTCCCTGCCACCTCAGATTTTCAATGACAGCCAGTACTGTGGGGACTAGGATGACTTTTTGGAAGCCCAAGAAAAGAACACAGTGTATGCCTTTTTAGGCCTGATGGCACCACCTGGTTTAAAGGAAGCAGAAGGCCAGGCACAGCAGCAAGCAGGAACCTTAAGCGTTCTGCCTTAAGCATCTTGAAAAATGCGTCTCCATTGCTTTCATAAAATAACAAAATCTTCTTGGCTTCAAAAGAAATAGGCGTAATGTTGAAATAAATAGATTAGTTGGTGTTCTTGCATGCAAACAATCAAAATGAATATGTCCTTAAAATGTGAATATAATGGTGAAGGGAAAAAAATAAAAGAAGGACAGGGCTGGGAGAGAGGAGGGTATGTGTGAGGTCTATATTACGATAGGACCAAGAAAGGGTTTGAGCAGAGACCTAAATGAAGTCTGGGCAAGGGGGCGAGTAGGGTCAAAGAGGTCCAGATAACCCCATGACTGCCCCATCCCAAGCCCCTTCCATTATCTGAGTCCTTCCTGCTTCTCACAAGTAGCAGAGAATCTGCTGAGAGGTGCCATCACACAGGGTAAATAACTCTGGACAGAGATGTCTGCATTTGAATTTTGACTGCAAATTGCTAGGTATCTAACTTTGGGTAAATCACTTCCCTTCATGGAGTTTCCCCCCCATCAGTGAAATGGGGATACTGGTTCCTTCCTGGCACTAGAAGGATCACAGTGACATAGGCAAGGGTCTGCTGTGGTGTTGGTGTGCCATGTTCTCTGCTATGTTTCCCACAGTGGAGTGCAGTGACAACCTCTTTACCCAGAGGACAGGCCTGATCACCAGCCCTGACTACCCCAACCCTTACCCCAAGAGCTCTGAATGCCTCTACAACATTGAGCTGGAGGAGGGTTTCATGGTCAGCTTGCAATTCGAGGACATTTTTGACATTGAGGACCATCCTGAGGTGCCCTGCCCTTATGACTATATCAAGGTAAGCCTGCAGAAGTTGTTTGTCCAGGGAATGCTGGAAAATCTTGGCTGAATTGGGAAAATTGATATTCTGCTGTTTTCATCTTATCTCAGGACAGAAGGCCAGGCAGCTAGTTTATCAAAGTCATTATTAAGATAACATCTACCAGCTTAATTAGATCTAATATAAGAATCTTCCATGATCCAAAGCAAGCTCCCTGGCCATCAGTATGGTTTGAGATAGACAGTCCAAGAGTCAAGTCTGCATTAGCAAAAGTCCCTGGGGGTACACTCAGTTTCATTGACCTGCAATCTGTCCATGTCTCACAAGGCTCTATACTCAAAAAGAACCCATAGTTGATTTACTGTTCTGCTGTTGCTATCTTGAACTTCTTAATGTATTTTGAACAAAGAATCCACATTTTATCTTGCACTGTATGTACCCATAAGTTATGCTGCTGGTCCTGCTTGGGAGAAGAGACTATGCAAAAGGCAAACAAAGAGGAAAGAGAATGTCACAGGCCAATAACCACTGAATTTGTGGTGTTTCTACTAGAATAGATAAGATGCAAAGGTAGCCTAAATTTATGCTATTGGCTGGGATAGTAGAAGAGATATTGTTTAGACATGTAGGAAGAAAATCAGCTATTCTTAGAGAGGGACCAGCCAAAACATCCAGGTGGACCTGCATATTGGAGTCTGACCTCAGGAGAAATACTGAGCTGGGGAGAAAAAGGGGTGCTACTCAAGTGTACAAATAGGTGCAGTGAGCTGGCCTAAGACAGATGGAAGGCAGAACAGAGGCACCCTCGATGAAAGGGCCATAAAATGAGACAGTCAAAAATGGAGCTGTCAATTGGGCAGGGTGGCATACGCCTGTAATCCCAGTGGCTTGGGAGGCTACAAGTTCAAAGCCAGCCTCAGCAACAGCGAGGCACTAAACAACTCAGTGAGACCCTGTCTCTAAATAAAATACAAAATAGGGTTGGGGATGTGGCTCAGTGGTTAAGTGCCCCTGAGTTCAATCACCAGTACAAAAAAATAAATGAAGTTTTCTACAGTGGGAGAAGTTTGAGAGTCTATGAAAGAAAACTTGAGAACTTAGAGGCTGTCCTGTCCCCTACTTGAATTCAGAGGCTAAGAAGCAGCTTGGCCACAGGTGGACTAGCAGGAAACACAGGACAGGAGTATTCGTTGCTGTGTAATAAACTGCCTCGCACATAACAGCTTACAGCAATTCTTTTTACATTGTTTTGTAGACAGAAAACCCAGAAGATTCACTTAGGTTCTTTGATTAGGGTTTCCCTAGATGGAAATCAAAGTGTCAACTGGATGGGATTCGAACCTTGAGGCTCTGGGGCAGAATCCCATTTTCAGGGTCATTTTAAATTGTTAACAGATCCTTGTAGTTGTAGGAATAAAGTTCATTGCTGCTGTAGGACTGAAATCCCATCTTCTTTCTGATGGCCCAGAGTTCCTCTCAGCATCTAGAAGCTGCTCTCAGGTCCCTTTCTACTGTCCCCTAGGGGATAAAAAAACAACCTCTTTTTCCATGTAAGAAAACATAATCACAAAGTAAAGCCAGGGGTGAAGGTTATGGTACTGTCTTAGAATTCTGGCTACCACACAGAGTTCCCAGAGCTATGCACGGGAACCTCAGCTAGTCACTTTTCTTTCTGGGGCTTCGCTTTTGCCCCCTCTCCATGATAAGATGAAGATGCTACCCAGGATTGTGGAAGTCACCAAATGCCACCTAATGGGTCCTGGTCCTGGTCCTCAGAGATGGAAGGAAAAATGCACAGGAAGAACCCAGGACTGGGAATGGGGGACTCTGGATCAGCCCATACTTCCTGCTGCCCTCTCTCCTTCTCCACTGTCTCTGTCCCAGTCAAGCCCCATCACCTCTCCTGTGCTCAACTGCAAAACTCCCCAGCTGGTTTTCTTGCTTTCACCCTCACTCTATATAGTCTATTTACCCATAGTCTTGAGAGTTAAAAAAAAAAAAAAAGCAGATTGGATCAAGATTTCACTTGGAATTACACATAAATTCCTCAACACAATGTGGCCCTTGCCTGCTCTTCCAACCTCAGGTCGTGCCACTCCCTCTGTCCCAGCCTCATGGCTTCCTTCCTGTGCTCCACACTTGCCAAGCTCATTCCCACCTTTGGCCTTGGCCTTTTCATAGCTATTTTCTCTGCCTGGAAAATGCTCCTCCCTCCTCCTCTTCAAACAACAGGCTCCTACTCACCCTACACATCAGATTCAATGTTACTTCACCACGAGGCCTTCTTTGAGTACCCATTTAAAGTTACTAGCTATTATACTACTGTCTGTTATATAAATGGTGGCAAAGATACCTGTGTTATGTTGCTTATTGTTTTTTTTTTTTTTTTTTATCAGTCTCTCTTTACTCGACTGCAAATTCTTTGACAACAGAGAGCTCATCTGTTTTGTGTACTGGACAAGGCTATGTCCTCTGAGCCACAATAAGTTTGTCTTTGAGCAGAGGATTATTAACCTACCTTGTCCACTTCCTAGGCCATTGTAAATTACAAAATGAGAGAGTGGAGATGAACTGTTGGGTGACTGGAAAGGCCCATTCAAACCATAAGTGAAAATCATGGATTCACCCGGAGGCTTCCAGAAGACTCCAGAGAGCAGTGCAGAAGAGTTGCCTGCAGCAGTGCTCTCAGCTGCTCAGATTTGACTCTTCTCTTTCTCTGTATTGCCTTTCTTAGATTAAAGCTGGTTCAAAAGTTTTGGGACCCTTCTGTGGAGAGAAAGCCCCAGAACCCATCAGTACCCAGAGCCACAGTGTCCAGATCCTGTTCCGCAGTGATAACTCAGGGGAGAACCGGGGCTGGAGGCTCTCGTACAGAGCTGCAGGTAACTTCTCCCCTCTCACCTGAGTGAGCCTCTGTGCTCAACATTCACAGAGAGGGTGGTTGGGAGGGGATGCAGGCCTGGAACTTCTCTGGTGACCTGATGGGACTCTTAGCTGAGAAATTTGGGACCAAGACATATGCTCTCTGCTGACTCAGTTTCCTATCTGTAAAAGGGGCCCCAGCGCATCAATGATGTTGAGTTTGAGCTAGACTGGAAGTTTTCAAAACTGGCTGTATTTCAGCATCGTGTGGGGAGACTTAAAAAAAATAGAAATCTTATTTCCTGAACCCCACCCCTCACACAGTGATTCACTAGACCTGGAAAGGGCCCTTTCAGCTCCAGCCTTCTCTAAGTCTGGGGCTGGAATTTGAGCATGGGCCTGTAGTTTCCAATGTTTCATTGTGGGCCCCTTGACTGGCAAAGCGTACAGGTCCCATTCCTCAGCTCCCCAAGGCAGCCAGTCCTGGCTCAATCCTAATAGAGGCATTTGACCCAAGAGGTCTGTAATAACTCAAGAAGAAAGAGGTGGACATCAGCCAGGTGTGACTTCATAGACCCTGAAACCCTGGCTCTGCCTGCACTAGCCTATCCAGTGCCCAGTCTGGGGAGAGGAGTGAGCAGGAAATTAACAAAAGAGAGTTTGTCCAGGAAAAAGTGTCAGGGATAAGCTCCAGCATGAGGATCTTGTCAGATTTAACCTTTTGAAAAGATGTCTCAGAAGTATATGATTCATAGTCTCTAAATGCTTTGAAGAAGGGTCTTGGGGAAAAAAGGGGTAATTGGGGTCCTCTGCGTGGTCCAGTGAGTAAGACTTACAATGGAAGAGATTTCAGCTAAATAGGAAAACTCTGTTGATTTAATCCGAGGATTCCACATGTAGAAGTTATAGGTTTGGGAGGAATTGAGTTCCCTGTCTTATAGAAATGCAAAAAGATGTTGGGTGTCTACTGTGGAGAATGTTGTAAAGAAAACATCAGGACAGTGTTGGAGTCAATGACACTTAATATTCCACCCAACCCTGAGTTAGCTCTTCGCTGACACTTGGGATCCAGAGTTATTGCAGTGGCTCGACTTGACAATAAAGAATTTGAACTAGCAGAATTTATGCAGTGATTCTAAAAAAATATAGTCCATGTAAATCATGAAGTCATCTGGCCAACCATCTAATTTTAATAATAAGCAATCGTGGGTGGGGGCTTGCAATTTGGAAAGTGACTTGCTTCTGGTTTCGGAGTAAGTCTGCGTGCAGTTCTGTCATTTCCCTCCTCCCGCAGGCCTTGCTCTGTGGGTCTGGCCCTCTACTGCCAGACTTTTCCTCTGTTTTCTTACCTGCTGTCCTTTCATTTGCTTCCTGCCAGGAAACGAGTGCCCTGAGCTACAACCTCCTGTCCATGGGAAAATTGAGCCCTTGCAAGCCACATATTCCTTCAAAGATCAAGTGCTCGTCAGCTGTGACACAGGCTACAAAGTGCTGAAGGTGCAGCGCCTGCCTGGGTGAAGGCCAGAGAAAATCTCAAGAGTTCCCCAGGGCAGATGGGCTGCTGGAACTTGGCAGAGTGCCAGCACAGTATTTCCTAGCTGCCACAAAAGCCTCCCAAATGTTCCAGAAATTCTAAAGCATGTGTCCCAGATTGTCTCTCGCTTCTGGAAGTGACACAAAAGTCTTTTATCAGAGAATGGGCTGGCTTGGATTTAAAAAGCAAGTGGTGGGGGTGCTGTACAGCTCTCTAATCAGGGCTAACAACCTTAATAAAGTTCATCAGGCTTATGGGGGTAGGGTGGGGCCTGGAAAGGGAAATAATGGTTTTAAAGGTGACAGGTACTCCTTATTTTTCCACCGTCTGAGACAATGATTCTCTTACTTAGCTTTAAAAATTTATTTAAAAAAAAAAAAGTCATCTCCTACATCTTAGTTGAGATTAATTAAAGCAGTATCTTTGGGGTTGAAACTGAGGCTTGACTTCTTCTTTTTTTTCTTTCTTTCTTTTTTTTTTTTTTTTTAATGTTCTCTATATGAGCCTAAAGTGCAGCCAAGCTAGAGGACCACTGTTCTCAAGGAATAGTTCTCAATGAAACGTCCCTGGACCAGTAGTATCAGCATCACTTGGGAACTTACTAGAAATGCTAATTCTTGGTTAGATCAGACCCACTAAATCAAAAAATTCTGAAGACACCGGCCAGCAATCTGTTTTAACAAGTCCCCAGGTGGTGCTGACCTCTTGCTCAAGTTTTAGAACCAGTCTCTGAAAAAGGAGACAAGGCTACAGTTATTCTTTCAGAGACAATTGCCCAAGGCCACTTGTGCACAGCCCTTGCCTCTCCATGGTACGAATGCAGAATATGAGTTCAATATCTATGTTTTCCTTATCTTCAAACTTGGCCTTGGAGACTTGGGTGGAAAATCCCATTGAGGACAGTGAGGCTTGGAACTTGAGTTCGTTTTTCTGGGAAGCAAACACTGACTCCACCCCTTCCTTCTTCCCACTCCCTTCTTTGGTTTCTTTCCAGGATAATGTGGAGATAGACACATTTCAGATCGAGTGCCTGAAGGATGGGACATGGAGTAACAAGATTCCCACCTGTAAAAGTAAGAAAAACAAATGGCTTGATTATAAGGATAATGAGTTCCCTCCTGCTGTTGGGATCAGGCCAAAGATCACACAGGGGTGACAGCCTGGCAGCAAGTCTCTGAGAGGGATGGGTGGAAACTCAACAAACAAAAACAGTATTAATGCTCCTTTTAGCAGTAAGACTTTAGCATCCCCAAACAAATGTTTTTTTTGTTTTTTTTTTTTGGTGTGTGTTGGGGGGCAATTTATTTTCTAAACACTAATTTTACCTCAGCCTGCAAACAGGTTGCCAGATTTGCTAGAGGAATACATGTCTCCAGGTCTAAAGCCAGCTCTGGCAATTGCTAATTCAGGAGACCAGTGTGGCACAGGTTCCCAGAGCTGAGTAAGCATGTTAGTATCTACATGGCCACCACACCCATGGCCACTAACTCTTCTGAGTTGATTTGGAACTTTGGAAAAATGACTGTGGGGTAAGCATAGTAGACCTAGTTGAAGCATGGAACACAACTCTTCACTGACTGTTGGGGTCCGAGTTCTTGCAGTGACTCTGACCCTGACCTATTCTGTGATCATGAACCAGATCCTTTAACTCAACTTGACAATAACTAATTTGGACTAGCAGAATTTATGCAGTGATTCTAAAATAACATAGTCCATGTAAATCATCTATTGAGTTTTGTAAGAATACAGATTTCCAAACACTAGCCCCTCTCCCTCCACATCCAGGGCATTTCAACACAAGAGTAATAAGGACAGCGATTTTAGAAACTTATGTATGGCAACAGTGATGAGAAGAGGCACAGTGACAGAAAGGGTCAGGAAGGAAGGAAGGAGGGCAGGGGTTTGCTTTAGAATGCAGAAATGAGAAGTCAAGAATTGGGGTTGGCCCCATTCATCCACATTTCAGGAGTGCTGTCCTATTCCTTTGTCTTAAATGGCTCCCATCCATCATGGAAGACAGATCTCTTCCCACTGCCCTTAGGAGGTGCTCTCAAGCAGCAGGGTTCCTGGAGGCAAAAGCCAGGCAGAACTGGAAGCAGAATGTGTTTGTTTCCTTTTTTATATGGTTATGTTGCTGCAGTCAGGTCCCAGTATGGGAAGAGAGGAGCATCGCATGACTTCAACAACTTTTCAGCAAACACTTACTGGAAGCCTGTGCAGACTTAAATCCAGAACTCCGAAAGAAAAGTTCAGGTCTAGATAGGAGGGACTCGACAGCTCTTCTTAGTAGTGGTATGACTGGATGCTGAGCAAGGCACTCACCAAGAGAGAGCAAGGGTCATTTTGAAAAAGGGAAAGGAGGATTTGAGATATTTAGGACAGACTCTGACAATTCTATCAGATGAGTGTCCCTATGCAATTTACTCATTTTCTGTTGGCCTCAGACTCTTTCCCTCAAGATTGCTATGAGAACTAACTGGTTTAATATATGTACCATGCCTGTAGAGTGCAGGAATAAGCAAAAGCTTAATAAAAGCTTATTTCTTTTTCAGCCCCCAGCATCACCCTTCACTACCAAAAGGTTTATTTTCTCTCAGACACACTTTTGGAAAGTAGGAAACATTATTAATAGTTTTCCCTGATGAAACACACACATACTTTGTGTTGTAATGAGAGCATTGATAGAGTAAGGCACTACGGTATTAGCACTATTTTGTGTGACTTATGCAACAGAATGCCTTGCCATGTTGTACTCAAGAAAACAGGCTGGATTAGGATGATGACAGCTCCCATGCAGACATATCCAGCATCTTTGCCTAATCAATACTTACTATGGCATTTCTCTATACCATGTACTATGCTAGATCCTATGGAAGATGCAAAGATAAGAGTGAGGAATTAAGAGGCATAAGGGGCTGGGAACAAACAATAAGTGTGCAGTATATGGTAAAGAAAGATGCACCAGAACAGGAAGTGGGAATTATGGATGATTGTCCCAGCCCTGCCTTCACTTTGCTGTGATGACAAGTCCTGGTATTCTCTGAATTCTAACTGTCAAGTGAGGGTTTAGAATAGATAAATGCAAATCTCCCTGCAGGGAAAGAATCTATAATCCTTAGGAGCCAGCGAGTATGAGTGCAAATTCTCAGAATGGTACAAATTCAACAGTCCCAAACTGTCCTTCACACTGGCTGTTCCTAACCTGCATTCTTAATGGATTCTGATGGAATGGTTTCTGTATTTCCTGCAAGAACTGTTTCTGCTTTGCTTGCTAACTTTTCTCTCTCTCTCTTTTCTTTCTCTCTTTTTCTCTTCCTCTCTCTGCTTCCTTTCTCTGCGTCTCCTGGTCCCACTTTGACTTCACCATGGTGACAGAAAGCGAGATCGATTTGGAGAGCGAACCCGAGTCAGAGCAAGTGACAGAGTGAATGACAAGAACCCCACACAGTGCAGACATCCAGGAATGGATCACTCACAAAGACCCCGGGGTCCCAGAGCTGCTCCACCCCTCCCCACCCACCAACACTCCATTGCCCGCTTCAGTGTGGATTAGGATGGAGGCTGAGCCCCGCCACACAGCCCCAGCAGCGGGAGCCGCTGTGCTATGAGAATAAATTATCCCCTTGAGGGTTTGGTCACCACTCAAAATTACTCCAGAAAATGATAAAAAGACAGTGGGAAAATTTTTTTTAAGGATCTGTAAGTGGATTGTACTCTTCTCAAAGGAAAAATGCCTTCAGTTCTAGAAACACAAGATTTAATGCCCAGTCATGTGGCCTTGTGGCCAACCAGATCGAAGTGGGCACTGGTTTCTGATCTGGTTCACATTTCAAGTTCAAATAGGCCAGAATGCTAGTCACTTGATGACATTAAACTTTTTATTTGTTGTTACCTTTTTAACCATGAGTAGCTAAAATGAGTAATAACCCAGTGTGCATTTTTGAGAATCTGGGTATTTTCTCATTCACACAAGTATTCCTTCCACCCATACATCACACAGAGCTAAAATTCCATCATTACAGGTGCGTTCCCCTGGGGATTACAAGTGTTGTGTTTCCTAAAATTCACTGACAACTTTAAAAGGATAGGAAATGCTCGTGAAAGCGATGGTCCTCAGCTCTGGGACCACAGACATCACTAGGTTATAAACAATGATGAAGAAAGGGCTGAGATCAGCAGCCTGGACAAGGTCTGGACACAAATATTAAAGAAGCCCTGAATTGGAGGGTGGCTACCTATCGATTTTAAGATTAACTGGCCACTTGGTGAAGACAGAACCCTGCAAGTATAGACAATGAGCAGTCTGGAGTCTGAGGTGCCATCCTAGGGTAGAGACAACTCTGAGAGGAGATGGGCTAGCTACTAAAGACAAGTGCCAGCTGAATACATGTTTGTAAGCCCACAAAGTATTAACAGACTTCATACTTAGTGTAATAGAATCACAATGTAAGAGGAGAGTTGATACGTGCTCAAATAATTGCAATATCAGAGAACATAAGATCATGCCACCAAAGAGATATGAATAAAGAATTCCAGAACAAGGTAGCTCCCCTGTCCAGTTAGAAAGATTAAAAAAAGGCTTTCAAGAAGAACTAGTTTTCTGACCAAGGCCTCTGGGGTAGCCACATGGACACAGAGTGTCCCAAGCAGCAGTATGGCATGGAAGTGGAGGCAGAAGTGACACAATGATGGGTCTGGTGACATTGGAAGATGGGCACACTGAGCGGGGGAAGAAATTGAGGCTGGAAAGGGGACTGGGACCTCATCTCTGGACTGAGTGCCAGGGTGAGCAAATTGTGTAGAGTTCCCTAGGAAGTCCCCAGATTATGGTAAAGAGACTCAGAAGCATCTGCAGACCAACGAAGGTGTATCTGGAGGAGAATAAACAGCAGACAGAGAGGAGAGTGGAGACGGGGTATAGGGTGGTGTCCGCCATGCCCCAGAATGGTGAGCAAGGAAATGGGAGAGAGAAGTGTGTTTGGATTCCAGGGTGTGGAAGTGGCCAGAGAAAATTCAGGAGGACCCTTTCTAAAGCAAAGATGGCCTCGCTGAGGATGCAGGATCTACACCCACTGGTTGTGCCAGGCAGAGTTGCTCAGGGCTCTTGTGAGGAGAAGTTGCCTCAAGGTCCCTGAGATACATGGGTTTTAACCTCATTGTACACTTGGGAAGAAAAGTGTGCCCTTTCCTCACTCACTAGCTGACCAGACTCTTTCTTTTCCAATGGACATGGCCCCCCTCTCTGTGGTTGTAGGACCAGTTGTATCAGTGGGCAGAGTTGCTTCTCTGGAGTGCAGTGAAAATAGCCCCTCTATCCAGAAAATATCTCCCCACCAGCACCAGCCACACAAGTCCAAGGACTGCCCTAGAATTCTTCTACTAGAAGCCAGGTAGTTAGATCTTGATGATGCTTTAAGACAAAGGAATTGCTAAAAAGTTAAGGGAGACAAGAATGATCTTAATATGTAGGTACCAGTCAATGGCATTTCCTAAAGAGGCGGGAAAGTCCACTTGGCGTCTCAGAAAAAAAAAATAAAACTATTTGTAATTTTAAATAATAAATATTATTACTTCTTATTATCTTGGCATTAACCTTTGCACATTTATCTCACAAACTATAAGAGTGTTTCCAGTTTGGGGTGATCAAAAGAAAGTGGAAACGATTTGCCCAAGGGGACTGGAGCCCAGTTTTTTTTTGTATTTTGCCTTCGTTGTGGATAAGAAGGACACACATTTATTCCCTTCCTTCATCCCTTTCCTCAAACCTGGAATCATACATGTTTTAAGTTAGTTGACTCCATAGTCAATTTAAAAAGATGAATTTGAAGCCCTAAAATTAAAATCACAAAGTCTGATTAGCACTTGGGGTAAGTCTCTCCTCTCTATTCCCCAAGGTGAACAAGTGATATTCAGGAGGGGGAGGAACTTTGCAAATTTCATCAGGTTTCTGGAAATATTGACAAGAAATGTTCACCACTAGCCAGCTAATATGTAACGTAGGCCATTTAACATAGGGCAGTTAAACAATCCTGAGAAAGTATCACTGAGTTTAAGATCTCGTTCTCACTCTGACATTCACTCACTGGGTGACTTTAGAATAAATAGCCAAGTCTCCTCTCCAGGCTTATGGGCAAAACAAAGAAGATATTCTAGATGGCTACCACCAAACTCCTGCTACACCAGTCTCCTTTCCATCTGTCAAACTCTATGATTCCTCTAGGATTCTTCAACTTTGGCATGGGTTGTTATGTCAAATATGAAGATTTCCTAAGAAATGAGCAGCATTGTTTAAAGGATCCCCTAAGAAGACGTTGATGAATTGGGCCCTTAGCCTCTGATGTGGCCATGAAGAGGTGCCCTGAATCTGAGCTGACTCATGCTGAGATCCCTCAGGGCCAGCAATTCCCCTAAGACCTGGCAGGACTGAGGAGCTCCCCAAAGACCATCTCTGAGGAGCAGGCATCTTTGGTCATGTCTTATGCTGTGACTACAACCAGCCCCAATATCTAGCTACCAAAAACTGGAGAAAATTGGAGACTAAGACTTGATTCACCCATGACCCTCTTCTGCCTTCTGTGGTGGAGCAAGCTGCCTGTAGAGAGCCAGCAGGGTGGGGCCGTGTACTCATGCAGGAACTGGGTTTTTTATTTGTTTGGATTTGTTTCTTTTTTTTGGTGTGTGCGTGTGTGCCAAGCTCTAATATGAGCAAATTAACTGATCTTAGTCAGCCTGTGGTTGGGACTGGAAGAATGGAAGATTCTTTGGTTCAGATCAGCCAGAATTTTCAAACTGAGCATGGGCTTCATGCTTGGGCAGAAGTAGCAGAAAGGATTTCACAATAGAACTAGAAGTCGGGGAAAGAGGTTATGGTAGGGAAGAGACTTGGATCTCCTTAAATCTCAGCAGAGTTGTCTCTACTCTGAAATTGACACTGGGCCAGGTGAGTTGATCATAGAGTAATGTCATGATGGAAAGACCCCAAAAGCAAGGGCACTGGGAGCTGCAGAGGCTGGACCCTGTACAATTCCAGGGGCATCCTTGACTTATAACTTTGCTTTCTGGAGTTGTGCTCATTGCATAACCTGCACATCTGTAGAAGAAAAAATCCAACAGATGGTAACAAGAGGAAGAGCAAAAGATAGTTAAGAGGTCTCACTGCTTCTCTCTTAGTTGTAGACTGTGGAGCCCCAGCTGAGCTGGAACATGGACTGGTCACCTTCTTCACAAGGAACAACCTCACCACATACAAATCTGAGATCAGATACTCCTGCCATCAGCCCTATTACAAGATGCTTCACAACATCACAGGTGAGCGCTCCATACTCTCCCCCTCCCACCTCACCCTCTCTGGGCCTCTGGATAGGCTGGGAGCTGAAATCACTCTGTAAGGAACAACTGCTCATAGGTATGGGGTGCTCAATAATGCAAAAATTGTCCTCTCACACATCACCTCATCTGATACTCATGCATGAACTCATATTATTTTGTCCATTTTAAGATGCAGAGACTGAGTCTCAGGACCAATACCCTGTCCTTTTCTTTCTTTTTTTTTTATCCTCTCATTTTAATCTAGCCCAGATTCTACCAATGAGCATAGATCTTTTAGGAGCATAAAGGAGTCAGATAGAACACAGCAAAGGGAAGATTTGAGAACCTAACGAAAGCCTGGAATGTCCCAAAATGAATTGCTACATGTTGCCTGAGGCTGAGTTGAGGTTTCCAGAAAATGCCCTGTGTCTCCACTTCAGCCAGTCTCTGCCTTGGTTTCTGGCTGATAACATATGACCAAACTAGAGCCATTTGGCAAGCCTACTAGGAATCTTCCTTCAAAGACCCGTTCTTATTTTATGCACAGGGTCCAGGTGGAGTGGGGAATGGGGAGCAGATCCATCTGTCTCCCAAGGTAGCCCAGTGTATGCCCTGACCAAGACTCCAACACAGTTGGAGCTGTTCCAGTCCAGGTCTCATCCATACCACCTGCCAGGCTCCTGGCTACCCCAGAGGTCAGACAGAAGCTCACAGGCCAAAGGGTGAAGGACCACCAGTGGCCAGTACACTGGTCACAGTGAAGGTTTGGGAAGAGACATATGTGGTGATATGTCCCACCTTACCCTAGAATGAGTCTTTGAAGCATACCAACACCCTCATGCATAGTCACAGTCCTAGCAGAAAAGAGAACCTCTCAGAGATGGAAAGGCCCATCTCTGCCTCTATGGAAAATGAGCACTAAGAAAACTCTCGCTGGTCATGGTGGCACATGCCTCTAATCCCAGTGGCTCAGGAGGCTGAGACAGGAGGATCATGAGTTCAAAGCCAGCCTCAGCAAAAGTGAGACACTGAGCAACTCAGTGAGACCCTGTCTCTAAATAAAATACATAAAAAGGCTGGGGATGTGGCTCAGGGGTAGAGTACTCTCTGAATTCAATCCCCAGTACCAAGAATAAAGAAAAGAAAACTCTCCTAATTTCTCTAAGTCTCCAAGAACTCACTTTTCAACAAGGAACAGTGATACAGCTCACAGAGCTATTGTGAGACTCAAATGAGAAGGTGGACAGAAATGTGGCTTATTAAAGGGTTTAAGTACTGAGAGGCATGTGTGCTGTAGAGAGCTGTGTGAACCAAAGTCTCTGTGATTAATGAGAGGGAGAAAACTGCCAAGGGATGGACAGCCCAGGGCAAGCAGCCTCAAACCAGCAGGAGTCAGATTGCACAGAGCGCTGGACACCACGAAGAGTGTGGTATTTATTTTTGAGGACAGTGAGGATCCACTGGTAATTGAACTGTGGTTAGATTCCCATTTTAGAAAGATCCTGCAAGTTGCAAAGAGGATGGGCTCATGGAAAATGATATCAGAGAGGCCATTTGAAAGAATTTTTACAATAATCCACATTAAAGGAATTAAAAATCCAAACCTATTTTCCATGTGCTACACATCAATCATTTTCTTTCTCTTCTCCACCCTTTTTCACTCATGTAGGAATGTATACCTGCTCTGCCCAAGGGGTCTGGACAAATGAATTACTGGGAAGAAGCCTGCCCACCTGCCTTCCAGGTACCTTACCCTCCAAGTCTTCTGTCTCGAAGTCTCCCGTTCAAGGCCCTAGAGCCCCAGGTGCTCTGGCTGTTAGCAGATGCTGAAAGGGAAGATGCTTTGATTTTTTTTTTAAGAGATGTCTTCAGAAGGTTGAAGGTCAGAGAAGCCTAGTCTCACACCTTCTCAAACTAACTAGACTCTATATTCAGCCTGTTCTGCTGTGCAGGAACCCCCTGTTGCCTTTCTGTCCAATTCCACTCCCTTTCCACCAGATTTTTTCATCCAACACAATTTGTGTATGTGCCCCTCTTGTTGTGCCAGAGAAATCAAGAGAGCATGCACCCTGTCCTCGAGCACTCACCAGGCTCCAATAAGAAACAACTGTAGGACAGAGGAAGATGTTCTTACAAAGAATAATGCATGCAAGTCTTTTTGATCTCTGCCTTCCCTGTGTTTTATCTGCAGACCCCACTTTAAAATGGAAAGAGAAGTTGGTGGTAGCAGGAAGTGTCACTGTGCATATAGTTTGGGGGGATATTTTCTTTAGCGCTAAAAGTATGGATGATTTACATTTTAAGCAATGTTCATATTTAAATAAACTTTAGAAATCATAGCCCCAAAATACACACAGGAGGGTTAAACAAATAACTCACAAAAATTAAATTTAATATTTACAACACAGTAATTTATACATATTTAATTTTTTTAAAAAATCAAGTATAGCACTAATTAAATGATACATCATTCCAGGTAGCATTAAAAAATTGAAAATTAATTATCCTTCTCTGATTCCATATGCACATTTGCATGAACAGCAGGAGCTATTGTGAGACTCAAATGAAAAGGTGGACAGAAATGTGGCTTATTTTATCCGTAGTATGCTGAAGCTGAGTAGCCTTTGTATTTCACTGAATTACAGCTTTGGGTAAACTAAGAGTATAAGGGAAATGGCACACATTCACTCGGTGGGCTTCTAGATGTTAGGTTAGATGTTAAATGGAAGGCCCAGGAGTTCTCTACCATTGATTCTTATGAAGTGAAGAACATATTTACATTTGAGAGTCAGTTTTCAGCCATCACAGGTGCCATGGGATCCCAGAGAAAGAGGAATTGACTACACTTTATAATGAGAGGTGAGCACCAGGAAGGAAGACTTCACATAAGAGGTCTCATGCCTAAGAAAGAACCTGTGAAGAGGGAAAGAAAGAAAGGTCATCTTGGTCCCATTATGCTCTCCCACTCACCTCAGTTTGGCTTGGCCATGAACATACTCAAGGACTCCAGGTGGTGAAGCTTCAGAGAAGAGGAGAATAGTGGAGATGTGGTAAACTAGAGGTTCAGTTTTCTCTTTTGCTAAAAAACTAATGTCAGACAAAGGAAACCAGGGGTGATTTCATCCTGGGAGGCCATGTTGCAACACTCAGAAGGGAAATGCACTGGGCTAGGAGTCACAGGCCTGGGTGGTACGCCGGTGCTGCTGCTTCCTAACTATCATCCTTAGTAAGTAATCTCGCCTCTCTAGGAATGGATTCCACACCTCAGAAGTAAGGGAGCCACACATTCTTTGAGATACACCACATTCTATGGCTCGTAATGGTTATTACTCTTTATGTTTATACAAAGGATCTGGGATACGATGAGTCATGAAATTCTCTTAACACCTAGAGTTGGCCAAACTACCATGTACCATTGGATCAGGCTGGAAATTTCCAAATTCTTTCGTCTCAAAATACTGAGACATGGAACTGAGATGCAAACCAGGAGGGAAAGAAAGCCATTTTATCTAGCACCATAACCTTTCAGGGGGGCCTACTAAGCAAATACGAGCTGCCCCTTTGCTTTTCAGATAAAACTTAGAAAAGTGAGGATCATAGTGGTATAATGATTTGTGCAAGGTTTCCTCCAGAGACTTAGGAGCAGAACTGGAGGATGATCCTGAAATTTTTTATGTCAACACAAGTATTTTAGTTGGCTTTTTTGCTGCTCTGACTGAAAGACCCAACCAGAACAACTGTAGAGGAGGAAAAGTTTATTTGAGGTCTCACAGGTTCAGAGGTCTTAGTCCATAGAAAGCTGGTTCCATTCCTTGGGGCTTGAGGTGAGGCAGGACATCATGGTGGAAGAGTGTGGCAGAGGGAAGCAGCTCATCTGATGATCAGAAAGCAGAGACTTCACTCACCAGATATAAATATATACCTCAAAGCCATAACCCCAATGCCCCACATCCTCCAGCCACATCCCACTTGCCTCCAGGTACCACTAAGTTAATTCCATCAGGGATTAATTCACTGATTAGGTTAAGGCTGTCATAACCCAATCAATTCTCCTTCAAACCTTCTTGCATGGTCTCATACATGAGCTTTACAGGGACACCTCACATCTAAACCATAACAATCAACAATGTTGAGCTCTTTTTGAGTTAGTCATTTTTTATGCCATCCTCATGCACTCAGAGTCCTGGAATGTCACCTTTTTATTCTAAGGGTCCTTCTTCAGTGCTTACCATCCTGTAGCCCAAACCTGGCTTTAGCACACCAAAGCTATACCATTTCAAGAATAGTCCTTTGTCTCAGAAAAGTCTGGGAGGAGAAGGGCAACAGCCAGTAATGACTGCATTTCAGCTGGGTGCAGCGGCATGCCCTATAGTTCCAGTGACTCACAGGTTTTTAAGGCAGGAGTATTGCTTAAGCCCAGGAGTCTGGGGCCAGCCTGGGCAATATGGCAAGGCCCCATCTTAAAAAAAAAATCAAGAATGACCCCATTTCAATGAGCTCTTTCAAAGACTTGTTGTATCATTCAACCTCATGAAAAGACAAGGGCATATCAAGGAGGAAAAAGAAGCTGGAGTCAGGAGTAATGGGTTCTACTTCTTTCTCTACCACCAATGATTTTGAGTATATTATTGGCCTTTTCTAACCCTCTATTTTTCCATCTGTAAATTAGCTACCCTCAGAGGTTGCTCTGTTCTGACCTTCTATGACCTGGGGTTTGCCTCTTTGGAGGAAGGTACCATTCAGTGCTGGCCAGGGGCTTTGTAGTGACCATGAATTGAGCTACAGAGGTGTGCCTTACCAGATGAGGATCTTTCAGTGCTAAGAGAATTGTTACACAGGCCAGGCGTAGACCTGCCTTGAGATATCACCTTGTAGGCTGCAGCTTCCAATGGGAGGCTAACCTTGAAAGGCCAGGTCACAGAGAGTTACAAAGCCCCATCCACATCTGACCTGGGGTGAATGTCAGAGTGCTCCAGCATCAAACAAGAAGCATTTGTTGTCAGCATCCAAATAACATTAGGCTGTTGAAAACCCTCCCTCCCAAAGTCACCAAGATACAAGAAAACTCAAATGTCCCTTGGTCTCTGAAGGATTGTTGAGAATATCCAGGGCCAAGGAGTATAGTCTGGCCATTTACAACCATAAGGGGACCTTCACACACCAGACCTACCTCCCAGACAAAAGCACCCTGTCCTTGTGTGCTTGTTCTTAGCCAGTGGGAGGGCTAGTTCTGAAGACCCACTGCTCATGAGCCAGAGGCATTTGGCTGCAGGAGTCCGGTGGTGCATGTGCATGCTCGGGGTACAACTCAGTGGAATGAAGTTTGCTCAGACCTTTCTCCTTCCCTTGAAGGTACTACAGGGCTCCTGGGTGCAATGATGTGTGGTCCAAATAGGGCCCATGCATCATTGTTTGTGGATTATGCCACCTTTCCCCTACATACTATGTTCTGAGACTTAATACACAGGCATCAATGAGTCCTTTAGCCAGATGAGAAAAGGTTTGAGGGTCTACAACTAGGGTCTTAATATGTAAACTGTCTTAAGAATCCATTTAAGACCCTACTATCCAACTTGATAACTATGTCCTCTTGGGATAGTCTCTTAACTGTCTTCATCCATAAACTGGGGGTAGACAGGGAAAATGAAATAAAAATCAAAGGAATTTGGAATTTGAAAATTCTTGAAGATCATCTTGACCAACTGTTTCATTTGGCGAGTCAAAAACTGAAATTAAGAGAGAAAACGTTCTGATTCAAAGTAGCATGGAAATAGAAAGGCCAGGTAAAGGCTCCAAGCATCTTGGTACCCAGTCCAATAACTGTTAGAGCTTGCTAGATTGTCTTTTATAATACTTCCATTTCTCTGTGCCCATGAAGATGGAGAGAAAACTTGTAGAAGTTCTTCAAGTGCCCACAGTATGAACAACTTCTGGGATATGAAATACCTTTTTAGGGAAGAAAGGGGATAAGTGGATACTGCTAGGGATAGTCCTGGCTAAAGATGGTCCAGGCCAAAAGTAGTCATAGCCAGAGGTGGTAATTCAAGAGAGAGATGGCCCAAGCATGAAATGATCTGGTCCAGAGAAGGTTCCAACTTCTGGGTTGTCATCTCTATGGGAGATGGGCCATCCTATAGAGACCTAGATACAAACTGTCCCAGGACAGAGCTCTCCCAGGTTAACATGACTCAGGCAGGTTAGGGTGCCACGGTGGCATAATCCACAATGGGTAAGATATGAATTTTTCTTAGTGGCTCTTTTCAAATGGTAGTCCTAACCAGTCTTTGTCTCTTGTCCCCACTCCCTCCTTCTCCTTATAGTGTGTGGCCAGCCCTCCCGCTCCCTGCCAAATCTGGTCAAGCGGATCATTGGAGGCCGGAATGCTGAGCCTGGCCTCTTTCCATGGCAGGCTCTGATAGTGGTAGAGGACACCTCAAGGGTACCAAATGACAAGTGGTTCGGGAGTGGAGCACTACTCTCTGAGTCTTGGATTCTCACGGCCGCTCACGTGCTGCGTTCACAGCGCAGAGACAACACAGTGATACCGGTCTCTAAGGAGCATGTCACTGTCTACTTGGGCCTGCATGACGTTCGGGACAAATCAGGAGCTGTCAATAGCTCAGCTTCCAGAGTGGTGCTCCACCCAGACTTCAACATCCAGAACTACAATCATGACATAGCTCTGGTGCAGCTGCAGGAGCCTGTACCCCTGGGACCCCACGTCATGCCTATCTGCTTGCCAAG